TAAATAGATATGAATATCAATGGAATAGATTAGAAAATACAACCACAACTATAAACACACTCAACCACCTTATCTTTGATAAAGGGGCCAAGCATGTTCACTGGAAGAAGGAGCTATTCCACATGCTGAAAACTAAAACTAGTCCCATGCCTATCACCATGTACTAAACTAAAATTGAAATGGATTAATGATCTAAATATTAAAACAGAAAAACTAAATCTTTTGGAAGACAAATTAGGTAAAAATCTTTAAGACATAGGGGTAGGTAGAGAATTCATGAACAGGAATCAAACCACACGGGAAATAATTCCCAGAATCAATAATTGGGATCACATTTTATTGAAGAGTTTCTGCATGTCAAAAGAAATCCACAGCATAGTGAAAAGAAAACAAACAAACTGAGAAAAAATCTTAGTGAACTGTCCCTCAGACAAAGAACTTCTGCCTAAAACATATGAAGAATTAAAAAAAAAATCACACCCCCAAAATTTAAAGACCCAATCCGAAAATGGCCATCTGGGATGAATACACAGTTCTCAGATGAAGAAATACATAAAAAAATACTCACCTTCATTGTCTGTTAAAGAAATACAAATAAAAAGAACACTGAGATTTCATTCCACGCTAGAAAGAATGTCCAGGATCAAGAAAATTACCAACAACAAATGATGGAGAGGCTGCAGGAAAAAAGGAACTCTTCTGCACTGTTGGTGGGAGTGTAGACTGGTGCAATCACTGTGGAAGACACTGTGGATATTACTTACAAAGCTGGGATTGGAAGTCCAATTTGACCTAACTATTCCACTTCTACGCATATTCCCAGAAGAACTGCAAACATCATACCACAGTGACGTATGTGCAACCATGTTTATAGCAGCACAATTTGTAACAGCCAGATCTTGAAAACAACCTAAGTGTCCCTCAACTGAAGAATGGATAAAAAGATGTTATATTTTTATACAATGGAGTACTACTCAGCTATAAAGAATGAACACATTGAGATGCTTACAAATAAATGGACGCAACTTGAGACCATACTCATAAGCTAAATAAATCAAACTCACATGTATAAATACCATATAGTCTCCCTAGTGTAAGAAATAGTACAAGTACAAGAGTACATAAGATTTTATGGTAATCATGACTCCACATTAGATTGCTTTCAAGCCTTATAATGTTTTCATTCATGAGTTGGAATGGTTTTATTGTTTTGTTTGATTTTATTATGTGTGATTGTATAAACAGCTATTGTGAAGGAAAGAAAACGTTATGGCAGCCATTGCTGATTTTAATATCATCTTGCTTTGAAGTCCTACCATGCTTTTATTCTTATGTTTCTCATTGGTTCTATCATGTTGTGTCTTATTGGATATTAATATGTGTGGTAGTATAAGTAAATTTTCTATGGAAAATGAGATTGTATAGTAGCCATTGTTCATTTTCTGTTATTTGGTTCTAAGTGCCTTATAATATTTTCATTCTCTAGAATGGTTTTATACTATTTTGTTATGTTTGATACTATTGTGTGTGAAAGTGTGCTCAACTATTTCAAAGAAAGAGACATTATGGTAGCTACTGTTAATACCTAGTTGTCATGTTGGAAGTTGCTGTGTTGTTTATATTGTTCTGTTCTGATCTGTTCTGTCCTCTTTTGTCTTAATCTCTTTAAAACAAAAAATAAGTTAAAAAAAGATTATGCGTGTTCATATTTATGAATGGCATTTGTTTACAATTTTCTTCCTTATAATATTTTTGAGTTTGGGATCAGAGCCTGAAATTTCTTTAATTTTCTGAAAAAAATTTTTTTCAGAGGTGGTGGATTGACAACTTTTCATCAACTTTTTACACCCAGCGAAACTGAATCAGCATGATGCTGTGTGTGGAGGGTTCACCTGGGGATCATTGCCAACAACATGGGAGGGAGAACTGAAGAGGAAGAAAAAATGTTGGTTCTTCTGTTGTTTTTCATTCTTCTGGAAGAGCTTGTCAAGCTTCTTTCCTGATATGAATTTGGTTGTTATCATCAGAGGAGCTTGGGACCATGTCACTGAGAATGGCTGTTTCTCACTTTAGGGGTTGGTCCTTACTTTCATCATCGCTTCCTGGTTCTGGAGGGGAAGATGGTGTGCTATTCATTTTCTTAGAGAAGTTTTTCATTACTGGCTTCCTGATGGGAACTTGGCTATTCTCATAACTGGAGGAGCTCAGACCTTGTTGTTATCAAGGATAGCTGTGGTACTTTTGGAGGGAGCCCTGGTCCTCACTTTGAGCATTACCTCCTGTCTCCAGTACACAAACCTCAACCTACTGGTACACATCATTCATCGCACTGGCACAGACTTTCTGAATTTTGCCGCTGACATTTGTGCCTTACCAGCACAGATCCATAAGACATTGTTGTGGACTCGAGCTCCATCTGGACTTGTGAGGGGCATAGTCAAGGCTTCTAGGTCTTCAGCTTGACCCATGCACGAAATTGCCATGGAATCAAGATCCTCCAGCTGGATTCTTTGGGGTCTTTACTGTGTGGACAGATTTTCTGCACTTTTTGTGTTTGACTCTTAGGATGACTATTATATTCTATAAATTATATGCCCTGTATTAAATTGTTTCACTTGAAAACCCTGACCACAACAAGAATTGTTTCTACTTTGTCTTGCATAATGTGACCGTATAGTAATTCATGCCTGAAATTTTCTTTGTAGAATGGTTCTAGACTACCAACTCAATGAATTTAGTAGATACTGTGCTTTTCATGTTGACTATTTCTCCTTAAGTATTTGTTAGTATTGTGCATCTTTAAATGATTTCTATACTTCATCTAAGTAGTTAATTACAATAAAGTAACTCAGTATTCATTTCATTCTTTTTAAATATGGATATACTGAAACAATATTTCTCTGCTTCTTCACTCTGGATTTGCATCTCGTCTCACACTTTTCTGATTTGTGACCCTTTTTCTTGTAAACAGGAACTTAACTTTATTTATTAGTTAGAGTGGTGGGCTTAATTTGGCATATTTGTATATCCATATAACATATTATGATCATTTCCATCCCCTGTTTACTTTCTCCCTCTTTACTCCATCAGTCCTTTTACTCTTCTGTAATAGTCTTCCTTCACTTTTCATGCTACCTTTTTTTTCCACAGATTTATCATGTGAGAGAGAATATGTGATATTTAATCTTCTTAGTCTGGCTTATTTCACTAAAGATAGTCTCAAATCCATTCAATTTCCTACAAATGACATTCTTTTATTCCTTAGTGATGAATAGTATTTCTTTGTGTTTGTGACATTTAAAATAGACTGTCAATTTGATTGACTTGAGAGTTACAAAACAGATCAGTAAAGGCCAGTTCCAGGTGTATTTGAGTGAGTCAACATGGTGGGACATTTGATACTGTATATTGTATATTAGACCCTTCCTCTCCAGTACTGTTTCAATCTTCTGCTTTCTAGTTGGGAAGAATTAAGTTTTGCTTTCCAAAATCCTTCTGCCATATTTATGTCTTAGCTAAAACCAATAATGAAAATTTCTACCTCTGTGAAGAATGGCATTGATATATTGATGGGGATTGCAACAAATTTGTTGATTACTTTCAGTTAAATGATCATTTTAATAATTTTAATTCTTCTAATCTAAAGAACAAAGGTTGTCTTTTCATCCTTTGGTGACTTTTTCTGAATTTTTCATCAGTGTTAAATTTTTCACTATAAAGTTCTTTTACTGTCTTGCTTAGGTGCATCTTCAATATAAAAAAGGCATTTTTAGTGGCATGAATTTACCCCTAAGAACTGTTTAATCTGCATTCCATGTATATTGATACATTGTCGTTGAAATATTTCTGCAGTTTTATTTTGCTCTTTTGATCCATGCATTATTCAGAAATATGATCTTTATTTGTGCATTTATCATTTTCTAATGTAACTTTTTTGGTTGGAAAAAATTTTGTATAATTTGATTCATTTTTTTATTAACTGAGCCTTATAGTGTGGCCACAAGTATGTACCATTTTTGTTCATAATTCATGTATGATTGAAAAGAATAGTCTGCTGTGTTTGGACAAAATGACATTTCCATCAACTAGCTTATATTGGCTGATAATACTTTTCAACATTAGTATACATACTGATAGATTTTTGTCTACTTATTCTAGCAGTAACTAAGAGAATGTGGCTAAAATAGATAATTATAATTTTAGATTGATTACTTGCAGTTATATCATGCTCTCCTTCATAAATCTCAAAGTACTGCTTTAAATTCTTAAATGTTTATATTCATTCTCTATATAAAATGTCATTATGTGCAATGACATGGCCTTACTAATGCTAGGCAAGTGCTCGATTTTGAGGTAAGTCCCTAGTGTTACTCTGACATAATTTGCACTTGGTAATATGTTTTCCTTCTACTTGTACTTCATCTCATTCCAAAATAGCCACCCACTATTGTTTTAATTACTGTATCAAAGACTCAAAACCATGTCAATATTTTTAGAAAGACTTAAAGGACTCAATGGGCAGTTGCAAAAATGACTAAGATTCATTTTAATATAAAGTACTTATATTAATATAATAAAATACTTAAAACCAGGTACTTATGAATGAAATGTTTGCTCACAAGTTTGGAGGCTGAAAAATCTATGACAGGATGAATCATCTCTTTGGCTTCTAATGAAGGTCTCATAGTTGGTGGTATCTTGCTGGCAACAGCATGAGAAGAAATCAATAGTGAGGGTAGATGTCAGAGACCTTAAAGGTGACACTTACTCTTTTATGACAAGTTGCTTTTGGGGAAACTAATTAGGGTCCCATACATGAACTCATTTAGTTTCTTCCAAGGGGGATGACCCTAATGTTCTAATGTGATGGTTAATCATGACTGTTAACTTCACTGAGTTAAGATATCCCTAGTACATTAGTAAAGTATAATTTCATGTGTGTTTTGGGAGGATCATGTTTCTAGAGATATAAGTCAGTGAACTGAAAGTGGAAGACCCACCTTGTTTGTAGGTGGCACCAGCCAGTAAGCTTGTAACCTGGAAGGAATGAAAAAGAAAGAAGTCAGTCTTCATTTTGAGAAGCTCTATTCTGGCTTGAGTGGGTGCATCTTTTGGGTCTGCCATTGTATGTGGACATCGCACTAAGCTTCTTCAGTCTTTCAGAGTGAACTTACTCCCGCAACCCTTAAGGGACCTTCTACACTTTCAGCCTTGGAATTGCACTATAATTTTGTTTCGTGTTTTTGAGACAGGATTTTAAAATGTAGTTGATATGAGTCAGCTCACTTTGTAGCCCATGCTAGTCTCAAACATGACTCAGCCTCCACAGTGCTGGGATTACAGGCATGCACCACCACATCTGGCTAGCACTGTATTCTTGATCCTTGTTTTTTTTTTTTTTTTTTGTGGTTTCTAGCTTTATGGTCTGAAGAGCTACAGTTCTCTCATACACTCACATGTACATGACCTTTGTTGCGTATCCTAAAGGGTTATTAAATCAGCTTTCATATGTTCTATTTTTCTATACCTATAGTGATCACTAACCAGTACACCTAATTACATACATGTACTACCACCTTACAGCATCACCACACTGAAGACTGGTTTTCACATGAATCATTGGGACCTTCAAACTATACCTCACCTACAGCATTATGCCCTGATTGTCAAAGACCATATCTTTTTAACAATGAAAAATTCAATATTCAGTGTCACTCAGCATCCAAGTCCAAAGTCTCATGTGAGACCCAATCCAAATTCTTCCCAGCTGTGAGAATCAGCACAGGAGAATCAGCATAGTGTTTGCTTTCAAGATACAACAGTTATGCAAGGATAGGATAAATATCTCTAAAGAGAGAACGTAAAATCAATAGTTTCATTCCAACTTCAGAGTTTTGTGCATACTGTAGGGGAAAGGGCAGACTCAATATGTCAGGCAATTCTAGCCACACAGCTTTGCTGGTTAAAGCCATATGGCTACTCTCATTGACTGCCAGTGCCTGTTTTCTGCACATTTTCATAGTGAGCACTGTATGTTATTGGATGTTCCAATGTTTTGGTGTCTTAAGGGAAGTGATTTCACTTCTATGGCTCTATAAGAATTCTAGTGGAGAGTTTTCACAATAGCTCTGTCTCTGTGGCAGGCACCTTCAAGGACTCCCAAGCTTTTCTGTGAAAAATTAGTGGAATCCATCAGGATCCCCAAGTTCTTGACTATCATTGCCTGAAGAATCAGAATCATGTGGACCGTCAGATCTCCAATTAGGCTCCCTTCAAGAAGTGCCATGAGTTGTACCTGAAACTTCTTAAATTGCTGCTCAAGTATCCATGGTACAATGTACTATAAAATGAAAAGCTGAATTCTGAGAGCCCTTGACAACAAAACCTTGAACAATTTTGCCTGGGCTTTTAACAAGGTAGGTGGTCTCGGAGATTTCTAAAAGGCTTTCTGAATTTCTTTCATTGTTCTGATGCAAACTTCTTGGCTTCTTTTTATCTGTGCTAAAATTTTTAGCAAGCTGGACTACATTCTTAAATATCTTTCCTTTTTTTCACTTTTCCATGGCTAGCCTATGAATTTTTAAAGTATTTCTGTTCTTTTTCCATCTATTCCTGAATTTCATTGAAAAGTTCACTGAAAGTAGCTAAGAGTCAATCTAAATGCTTTGATATTCAGAAATTTCCTCGACCAAAACTCACAGATCAGTAGTGGTGAACTAATAAATAGCTTGTTTGCTGCAGCAAGCACATAGAGCCCTCTCTGCTGGAGTGTGAGTCAAATTATCCTTGAAGCAACGCATAGGGTATTCAAATTTAACTGTAGCATTGGCATTCTATGATAAATAAGTAGGTTTTGGGCTGCAGTTTGGGAACCTGATCTCGGAAAAGTTTGTTATCAGTGCCCTAGGTCACTATTATTACATTGGGCTTTCTATAAAGTTCCAGTATATGGGCACAATACCATCAAGTTCTATAAAATGGGGTGAAAGTTGGATTTTCCTCCAACTTTCAATTGGGTTCCCATTTCTATCTAACCTTTCTTCCCTAGTTTCCTCCTATTATAAGCTTTCACAAAGTTTTCTGCAATGTTAGACATCCAGCATACTAAGATTTTTTAAAAAGCTTGCTTATACAAACTCTTCAAGGATTTGCTCATTACCAACCCACAAAGCCAACTCCACATTTTCATAGCAATTACCTCACTCCTTGGCACTAATTTATTTTATTAGTACTTTTTGTGCTGCTGTAACTAAATACTTGAGGATGCAAAATTTAATAACAAATGTATTAGTTTACAGTTTTTAAGTCTAAAATTAATAATTTTCCATCCATTCTATTTTTGGTCTCTTGGTTTTGTCCTATTCTGAGCACCTGCTAGCAAATTACATCACAATACACAGCAGTGTGTTCAAAAACATCACTGGAAAGATAGGAAGCCACAATATTTCATGGGTCACACTGGCTCTTTCTATAATAACTTAAACTAGAATAAACTAGTCAAGGTCTTATGAGAACTACATTCATCTATTCCTAGGGTGATGACCTCAGTGACCTAATTATGTCTCACTGGGTCCACCCCTTAATATATCTCTCAAGTTTCAACATTGCTGCATTGAGGATCAAGTCTCTAGGACACCATAAGAGGAATACTTGAACTGTAGCAGAAATGCCCCGCCCCAAACCAGTATTCTTCAGTTAGTTGGCCAGGTAATTTTTCCAGTTAGAGTTCTTGTTACTTTTGTTTCTTAGAAATGGCTGGTTACTGTGATGCACAGCTGGTCACTATGATACATACTGTAAGAACCAATCCCCAATTAACAAACCATTTTGTCTCTGTACTTCCTGCTTGCCTATTCCATATAAGCTGTAAACCTCTCTATCATTGTCTGTCAGCATAAGTTTGCCTCCAAACCCTGAGTGTTGTTTCAGTGTTTCTGTTTGCCCTCACAAAATCATACCAACCACTGGCCATAATGAAACAGAAAAAAAGTCACAGTAAGAAAAGATCTAAGCAGATACTGAAAAACATCATATGAATATTCCATATGCTCTCATTCTAAAAAGGCGTTCTGTCCTCAAGAATAAAAATACATACAATGTTTTTGAACAAGAATGCTTTATGCTCTTACAGGAGTATGTTCACAATGACATCCTTTGATTAGTCTGCCCTCAGATTTCCTTACTAGCAGAAAACCATGGATATATCATAAATTTGACTTTTTTTCACAAACAGAGTAGGCATACAAGACAATTTAATGGCTAAAATCTGCTATGATAGATAACTGCTGTGTCAACTGGAATAAGAAACAACCAATTAGATTAATATAGTTCTGCCAGTAGCTGAATGGATTTACTGGAGACAGAATTATCCTGGGTGTGAGTGGTACCAATAAATAGGCCTGTTATCTGGATGGGATAAAATGATAACAAATAAAGAAAGCTCACTTCTGTTTCTTCACAGAAGTTCCAGTATAGACCTTCACCTTGGATGACACCTGTCATCTCCTGGCTTCCAGCACAGATTGATTAGCCTTCCAGCTCAAACCATTTAGTCTTTAATTACAGACCCTTCAAGTTTCAAGCTCAGACCCTTCATCTTTCCAGCACAACTAACTGGCCTCCTGATATGGACTTGCATGGGACACTACAGTAAGTTCAAGGCCTTTGTACTTTGATTGGACCCTTCAAATCCCCAGCAAGCAGACAGCCCTTCTGCATTCTTCCACACCTAATTCTGCAGTCAGCCTTTGTAAACATAACTTGTAATTCTTATAAATCTTATATTAAATATATTTCTCTAGTGGGCACTGATTGATACAGATTTGGGTAAGAGGCTCAAATTGACACAGCAGTAATCTATCATAGCAGGTTTTAGCCGTTACATTGTCTTGTTATGCCTAGTCTGTATATGAAACCTACAGAGACAAACAGAATTGTAAAGATGAAATTTTTTAGTGGTTTTAGTGATTCCTGGAGTTAATTCTGTAATTTGAAGAGACCTAAAAATGTCATAGTCTCTCCTGATAATGCGGGGAGTATTGATAGTCCATTGTGTGAACTGTTTAAAGTAATACACAATGTAAATCCATTTGATTATCCAAACTCATTACATGTGAGATGTATGGAATTTATTCCACTTGTGATTCTTTTGAATATTTTTACCAGAGTGGGAAGTATAATCTTGCTGTTTATTCTTAGCATCTCTGTAGAAACAAGTGAAGAAAAATCATGAGTTCAAATCTAAAATTTTCTAAATGTGAGGACAAATTACAAAAGAATGAGGAGCTCAGAGTTTCAAATTTCAAGCACCAGACACATATTTAAAAATCCAAAAGTTTCTATGTGTGTCCTGAAAGAGCATATCTTCTCCTTTATTTGCAGGGCTGAGATTGTAGATCCACACACAGGTCCTCATAATTTGATTTACTGACATACAGCTAAATTTAATTCTCAGCCTCAAAGAGTATCAGAAATAAAGTGAGGACACTGATCAGAAAACAGTGGGATCCCATGCATTGGATAGAGGTGTTTGGGAGAACCCTGACCAGAGTGAAAATGTTGAAATCCTAGACTCTAAAGAGATTATTTTGCCAGAGGAAGAGATTTTCCCACCAATAATGATAGTCATCCCTACCCAAGCCCCTTTTAGCATTGACCATTCCTAGTATGCCTGAGGAAACTGACCCTGAGTTGACCAAGCATGATAATTTTCACAATCCTCAGGACCCACCATCACCAAACACTTTTGCCTCTAGGTCTATAATGAGGCTTCCAGAAGACTCCTATGAGGTTCATATGTAATCCATGTGGATGTCTTCTATTCTACAAAAGAACTTCTTGAGTTTTTAAAGAAATTCTTGTAAGAAGAAGACTGATGAGTAAGTGTGGGAAAGGACTTTATGGGAGGGGGTAGTGGATAATGGTGTTAAAAACAAATGTAGATCATGATGAGTTTGCTACATGGGCCCTCTAAATAGAAATTCTGAATGTAATTTTGCAACTTGTAGAATAAAAAAAGTGTTAATAGCTTATTTTAG